CTCTTCTCTTCTCTTCTCTTCTCTTCTCTTCTCTTCTCTTCTCTTCTCTTCTCTTCTCTTCTCTTCTCTTCTCTTCTCTTCTCTTCCAGCTGCCCCTGATGCTTCTGCAGTACAGACACTCTCTGAGCAGGTTCAAACTCAGAGTGCTAACAACAGCCAGCCCTCAGTTGTTAGGGTCAGTGAGGAGCATCCCAGCTCCCTCACTTTGCCAGAGACAGCATGATATTTTCCCCCTCCTTTTCTTCAGCTCTTATCTTCCTTCAGACACTCCTCTTGGCTAAATCGCTTTAACAAAAAAAACATAGCATGCACATTGGCAGCTGCTCTAAAAGTCCCCTTCTTGCATTTATCACACATGCATCAGCCTGTTCGATATTTAGTACATCTGGTTTTCCTTGAATGAAATTTAAGAGAAGCTCAACCAGAAAAGAGCATCTCTCATTCAGCTGCTTACCTCATCACTTTTGAACTAGTCAGAAATTAGAGTACAATCTAACTTCTCCAAACTTTGCTTGATAGTGAGTTTTAATGGAGCTGAATAGTAGGTATTGTGCTGCTTCTGAATGTAACTACTCTGGCTCTATAGGGCAGCTTGGCTTAGTCCATACTGTATGTTCTTGTGTACTTATGTCCCTAAATGTCCCAATATTTTTTTTGCTTCATGTTGATGAAAATGTGGATTTCAAGACAAAATGGATTTGATCAGAAATTCTGAAGACAGGATATTGCTATTACAAAATCATTGTAAACTGTAATGAACGTACCACGCCTCGTATCTATTGTTTGTGCTCTGTGTTTGTCCCCGTCCCTCTCTGTCTGTTTGCTTCTCCAAAGTGGTTTTAAATAAAGCAAATCAAGCACTCTCTCTTTTTCTAGTGTATATGGACGATCTGCACGGCACTCCTGGGTTTAATTATTTGAACGATTAAGTGTTCTTATTCTTACAAATGTTCTTTGGTGCGTTTCCTCAAAGATGGTGCTTTCTTAGGTAAGAATAATGGCAAATAACCACAGACAGCTGTCACTTCCTGTTCCTCTAGGTGCTATATCATGTAACAGCACATTAACTATTTATTGTAAAAATCAGAAAAAGGAAAAAACAACACAATCAGCAGTCACTGAGTTGCCAGGTGATCATTTATTAAAATAAGACCTGCATTTGGGCACATGATGACTCTGCTGTGGTCAAAGCATCCAGAGTTTTATACTCTCTAGTGTCAACCAAAGAGTTGGTCCAATATGCACCGGAGTAAATATTCTGTTATTGGCTATAAACTGAGTGACCATATGTCTTGAAGTGGGGCTGAAGGGAAACAAAAGAGTGAAAACATATATGCTTGTGCTAAAAAAGAAAACACCACAGTACACGGTTTACAAAAGAGGAGCACTAATACACAAGCAAACATGCAAATTGCTGCCTCTCTCCGGGGAATATAACCAGCTGACACAACGCCGAGTTTTTAAGCAGTAAAATCTGACAAACCAAATGACCCTGTAAGTAAAGAAAATAAAACGAATCCTGTGTTGCTGAATGTAAGACAGCAAATATGTTAATATGAAGCTCAGGATTAAAAGTTTTGCAAGTTTTTTCCTCTACAGTGAGGTTTTGATTATGCAAAGCAACATCAAATTCATGAAATGCTCTCCCGAAGTAGGCTAATCGGTAAAAGTAGCACTGAATTATTAATTAAATGTTACAAATGAGGATCAAGAAGTGTCCACTCCTATTTTTTGGATATGTGTGTGGATATCAGATCTGTTTACAAATCAGGAATAAAATAGGTTCATTGCATAAAAGTTAAAAAAAAAAAAAAACATAAAACAAAAACGCAGCTAAACAAAAAGGCAGATATTGTGAGCATCTGTAAAATGAGCCGAGTTGGTTTTCGCGCCACTAAAATGTCGGGCATCCTGTGTCACTTGCATGCACCTACTAGCTTGAAGCATATTGGCTCCAAAAATGAAATCTGTGGAAAGAAAGTAGTGAGCATCTCTGGCTTCACAGCCTGTATCTGTTTCAACTACTGTTACAGTGAGAGATGGAAGCCTCAGAGCGTTAGCGTCAACTTATTATCTCTCTCTCCCCATCTCTCAGAAACACTCACAGAAGACAGTTGTGAAACAGTTCCTCCAATTTGTCGTCTTCGCTTATCTACCATCATCTCTCATCCAGAGCTGCTGCTTCTGGAGCTCAAAGTGAATAGTTTCAAGTAGCTGGAAATGAAGACATTCCCGTGTGTCAGCCAGTAGTTGCATCTTTTGTTTGTAAGAAATCAAATGCATTTCTCGCACATCTGCCCCCCTCAGACAGTAAGGAAAACATAGTTTGATGCACAAAGACTTCCAAAAACAACTTTAGTCTTATTACAAGCCCATCTCAGGGCAAGATAAAAAGTTATTGTTCTTAAACACTCACTGTTTATGATGTCTTTGTGGCCATTTTTAGCTGAATTTGTCAAAATCTTAATACACTTATTGAGATGTAAGTCACTTTTTAATTTTCTAAATGTCACAACTCTAAAATTCACTAAGCCTTCATGTTTTATCAAAAATTGTGCCAGTTTTATCCACGCTGAACATCTGACATTTAATAGTGAGAGTCAGAGCCTTTCTTAACCTTAAACTAACCCACCGCAGTAAGTAAACAACAGGACACTGGCAAAATGGCACAAAGCCTACATGTCTGACATTGGAATTTAAATGACATATGAGTCTGATGGACATGGGATCAAAATGTTGGAAATTTAAATGCTTGTTTCTGCTCACCAGGTTCAATCATAACCCGTCTGATAGATCTAGAAGAAACCAAGAGAAAAGCGCTTTACAGTCGAGGATAATAGCAGAAGACAGCTTCAAAATATGGAAACACAAAGAAATCTATTCACAGACATTCTTATGGTTGCTTGATTATTTTAAGTCAGCTGGATTCACCCACTTCAGCTAAACGGGGGACTGAATGATCTTAGGTTTACTCAGAGTCCCTCTGGCAGCTTTTGACATTTGGTGTGTGTTTGTCATTTGGTTTCTTGGCCTTTGATTATATAGCCAGTGTTTTTTGCAGCTTTTGGAAAAATCATACAAAGAAGAAGAAAAAATAGAAGAAACCATATTTCACTCCAGCTCGTCGTCTGTATGTCCTTTGAGGAATTTTCACAGTTGGTCCTAATGAGTGTTACATTGTTGGGTGCCCATCAATCCTTGTTGGTGGAGTTTATATTCACTTAGTGTTGATAATGTGTGATAACCTTGGATATATCCTTGTTTAGTGTCTGTCTGAGATTAAGATGAGGAGACTTATACCAGCAACACATCTGGCACAAATCAAACAAAGACGAGGGCTAATATATAGGGCTAGCGAGCCAGGCAGGGTGATATTTAAGATGAGACAAGATAAAAATACATTTTATTTTACTCAAATGTATCGTTCTCCAATACTAAACAGCTTTTTATGCGATATGCATCTTCAGTAGCTCTGTTGGCCTCAGCCTCAAGATCTCGCCTCCTGAATAATAATGAGCGAAAACAAACCTGATTGTTAACTTTGGCTCTCCTGTTCTCATCTGTTAAGCACTTCAAACAATCCCATTAAAAGAATAAACAGACAATGGTTATTAGAAAAGGTGGAAACAGATGCGCCTTCATTATATTCAACCTACTTAGCCCAACACTCCGCTGGATTAAATTTTCCCACCCAATTAAAATTAGAGGCAGAGAGTGTCGACGATACCTGATGTCGCTGTGAAGCCTTTAACCCTTTTTCTTTTTTTTTCCTGCAGCTGCAAAAGCAGAAGCCACTGAGGAGGTAAAAACAGTTTCTGGGAAGGTGGATGCTGAAAAAGGAGAGAAAAAGACCAAGGAGGGCAAGAAAGAGGGCAAGAGTGCCAAAGAGGGGAAAGGAGATGAAAAGGACGCATCTACAAAGAAGAAGGGCGAAAAAGGCGAGAAGGGAGCATCCAAGAAGGAAGATGGGGACGGGAAAGGGAAGAAACCAGGAGAGAAGGGAGACAAAGGGGAAAAGGGAGCAAAAGGAGGGGCTAAAGGAGGGGGCAAGAAAGCTCAAAAGTAAACTCGGCTTTTCTGTAAATACCGGGAGAAAAAAATCCAATTTTTTCACTGGGAACATTTTGAAACTCTTTTTCTAAAGTGGAATTTGTATATTATATTGATAATAAAATATATGCTGATACATTATTACATTATTGATGTTTGTGTCTTATTAGGATATGAAAAGACAGTAGAATTATAGATTTATTATCTTATTCACAATTCACTGATGAACAATAGAGATCAGAAAGCATCCTCCAATCTCATCTGAAGTTTACACTGGTATCTACAACATGCCTACATCACAAAGGAGTGAAGAGAGAATGACTGAATGATGTGTCACTGCCCGCATTACAGTATCTAAAGCATGAAGACTATAAAGTCAAGTCCACTGAGTACACTTCGGCACAAGATAAATAAATGACAATGGAATACACATTATACTTCCATGAGAGGTATTTGAAACAATGAAATACAACCTTAGCTCTACGGTTATTGGCCCTATTGTACACTTGATTCCAAAACACAATCTTTTTACATAATACAATCAGAACAAAACACCATATTAAAGGGTATTAAAGTGGTCAAAGAGAATTTTCCAAGTGTTCTTGAGTTACAAAAAAAAAAATAAAGATCTTCATGCTCTGACATTGCCCGACCTCTGAGTGAAAAACTGGATTATACAACAGTAACATGGTATACCCTTTGATGGTCTGCAAATTAGGCTAACTTTCAGTTGTCACAAGCCTGGGAGAAATGCATTAAATTACCCATTATAAAGGATACAAATGGATGATAGATATTTAAATCTTCTGTGGCAGCAAGGTACGGTAACATGACTTTATAAAGGTTTCCCTCAGTCTGTCTTTTTCTATTTTCATCACTGCGGCATGCAGCCACCTGTAATTACTATTGTAGTCAATCCAGTCAAGCTTACGTCATAATTATAGCAGAATGAAAATGTTCCTTTTGACTGTCAAAAGCAGCTAGGAGCTCTATGACAAACGGGAATTTGTTATATGACACTGAAATTTTAAGTTCAATCATTCTTGGTTTTGGTCTTTTATATATAATAGCAAAATATGAAGCATGTTAAAAACATTAAATACTTGCTAAAAGGGTAAACAGTCGGTGTGTAAAGTTGATTTCATTCTAGTGCTATTGGATCCAGTTTGTACTGTAAGCAGTAACTTGAGCAGATGAGAATTTAAGTTAAAGAGGTGGCTAACTAAGTGTGAAATGACCCAAAGAGCCATGCAGGGGAGCTTACAGTTAAATAGTATTTACTTGAGAATATGTAGAAATTTGGCCAGCTGCTGCTTGAAAATTTTGTGACATTCAGAATCATTCTAATGTTAGATCTTGAAACATAGTTTCAATGTTAAGGATTTAACAACAAATGTAATATTAAAGGCTTTGGTCTGTTGTTACTCTGTGTCTAGGTGTTTTGAATCTTTCACTGCTATTTACATGAAACGAAAGATTTTTTTAAAGACAAGAAAAAAATAAAATATTACTGCAAAATTAAGACAATCTGGTCACTGTAAACGTGATGGTGGAGGATAATACAAATAAAATCTTCAGTATAACCTCTTTTCTGGCAGCTTATCATGTCTTTTCTCTTTGGTATAATAGATCATGTGAGCTACCCTGCCAATCATGCAGGCTAAGTATAGTAAATTACAAAGATATTCAACTGTTCTGTTTTGGCCTATGTACATAACCAAATATTGCCAACATCCCATAAACCAATACATGAAAAAAAAAACATCAAAACAGCTTTATAACATATAACATATCCATACATAGGAACACTTTAAGCTCACAATTAGAATGTATCTCTGATTTTTGTAAACATCGTGACTCGTATATACATCATAGAAGCAGCACAACACTGGACTGACTACCTGTAAAAAATACTGTGTAGTAGTAACTTCAGTTTTTTTTCTCTAGAGCATCACAAATATCACTCCTAGAATCCCACGGGGAATTTAAGACTCTTCGTTTCCTCCTTAAATTAATATTCCTCTGGAATATTAATAAGACTGTTGCCTCCATCCTGTGCCTTCTAATAGGGCTTCATCTTTTGACAACTTTGAGAATATATCCAGTATATACAGTTTTCCTTTGAGTTACATGACGTTACTCAGAGAAAAGGGTTGTCTGCAAAGACATTCTTACTTTGGTGTTTTTAGTTTAGCCGTGTGAGTATTAACATTTTATATGGACAAAAAACTAAAAACTAGTACATTCATTTTAACCATTCAAAATCTGTGGAGTCAGAGGACTGAATACTGGGTGGGGGGAGGTGTGTGTGAACGGAAGAGAAACACAAAATAATCTTTTATGACACACATGGATCCTCTGGAGCAAAAAGCTGACTATGCTAAAACACCACTTGAACAGTATAAAAATAGGTGTGCAACAACAGAGGACTTCAATTACCTGAGTAACTTCCCTTTTACGCTGAAGTGGATTTAATCCAATGCAGAACAAATGAGATTCCACACCAGGAAACATGAACACGTCTCAACAAGTAGGATTAATAGTTTTAAAGCCACACGTAATCTTCATTCAAAACTTCCTGATTAAATTGCCAACATTTTTGCCTCTGAGAGTGCTCAGTACCCACCTGGCTTTACTTTGGTGATTAAGGGTATTCTTGGCCATTGTAGTAACTACAAAACCCCAGTTTTTACTTATGCACAAAAAAAAAATGACCACAAGATGATTGCTTCCAGAGGAAACATAAATGAAGGATAACAACAGTTATGGCAGTGAATAAGAAGTAAAGAACGGCAGTCCTCTTCTCAACATTTTACACATTCAGTGTGGCAGGCGGTTGGTGAAAGAGTTATTTGCTGCAACAATGACAGTCATCACCCATCAAATAAGCCCGCAAAAGCGATACGGCCTTTCTGCCTCGAGCCTCATCGCTTGGCAATGTTCCGGCTCAATTCACAGGAGAAAAAAACTGGCAGTGTCGATGCATGCAGGCATCCTGAGACTGTTTCGTGATGATTTTCTTTCCTCGATTTTCACCGACAAAGACAGTGTCCTGCAGGTCACATGACTGTCTCCCTCTCCTCCTCAACCACGGGCGAGGGTTTTTCGTCCTCACAAGGCCGAGTATGCGCAGAATGCTCTTCGGCTGGAATGTGGAGCTCCTGTCCCGATGACGGTATAGAGTTCTCTGACACGGAGCCATTTTTCACATACCCAGGGAGGTTCCTGTGCCCATTCACAGGCGCCGGTCCCAGCCTCGTGGTGAGGTGGAGGCCCAGCGGTCCTCTGGCAGTGACATTGGTAACACTGGTGTGTGATACCATAGGTCCATAGCTGTAAGTGTTACTGCCGCTTCGAGCTTTTCTTTTGAAGTCCAGGGCTAGAGTTCTCCTGCTCCAGGACTTTTTTATCTCAGCTTGCACCTTAGAAGAGAAAATACTTTTTTTTTATGCATAAAAGCAGAAGAGTCAAAAATGTGTAAAAGGCAACATTTCTGAGTTCTTACCTCTCCATTACAAAAGCAGTATATAATTGCCACTAGGAATCCCTGCAATATAGAAAACAGTGATTTTTACTCCCATTATCCGTGAGTGAAATATCTTTGCAATGCACTTTAATTTAACATTTTAGCTGTAAAATTTGGCATTTTGTTTGATATTTTCAGTCATCAGCTACTCCTGTTGTTCTTTTAATCTTGATTAGGATCTAACCATAACTCAAGAACTAAACAATAAGCAACAACTGGACATTCACTAACTGTTTTTTGGTGATAAGGTTAACCCTTAGGACATTTTAAATCCTGAAAAATCAAGCCTATTAGATTTTTTGAGCACATCATTATTTATATCAGAATAAAATGAAATTTTCATCACAGGATTTTTACCTGGAAGGAGTTTGAGAGCATCTCGTAATGCATTTGGATCAACCATGGAATCCCATGCACCTCTGTATATGGCATGGCAATGAATATGATGTAGTGGACGCCAAACAGAGGCATCAGCACCAGCGTGGACTTCAACAGTTTTCTGTAACATTCACAATCGTAACACAATACTTTATAAACATTTCATTTTGATAGATCAACAATAAAGATGAGTTGGTGGATTGAAGGTTAAAGTCATTTGTTAGCAAAAAAAATAAAAAATACACAAATCAAGCTTAATTTCCATCTTTTTACATGCAAGGGTTTGATGATTTTTTTGATGATATTTGAAATCATTTGAAATTGAATGCTGAACCGTGCGGAACAGTTGGAATGCAATTTGAAGATGACCTTTTAGTCTGTGTTGGGTATTTCCCACGTTTAATCTCCCTGTGTTTGTGTGGGTTTTCTCCCACATTTGTAAGACTTAGGCTATGTGGGGAAATTCGCTGCAGATAAAAGTGTGTGGTTTAGGGTTAGGTGTGTTTGTACGTGCACTGTGATGGACTAGAAACCTGTCGAGTATGTTCCCAGGATTTATTTTACTTTGACAGTTAGGATAGACTGTCACCCCCGAGAAGCATAAGTGATTACAAAAATGCATTATATGGACAAAGGTGTGTACAGGAGCTGCTCTCCCATGAAGTTCTGGGCGCACAATTTTTGTGTTGATGTTAATGCCAGAGGAGGTTGCGAGCTCTGCAGTTACAGAGTCAGCAGAGCTGTGGTGACTTTCACGCACTAAACCCCTCAGCGCTTAGCAACCCTGCTCTGTAACTTTACTGTGGTTGCTGTGGTTCCTCAGCTCTTCCACTTTGCAGTAATATCACTTGCAGTTAATCGCAAATATCTAGGAGGAAAGAAATGTCATAAACTGACTTGTTGCAATGGTGACATACTATTACAGTACCGACCCATTAATTCACAAATGCCTGTAAAGGCAGACTGCATGGTTAGATGTTTGATTTTACAAAGAGATGTGGCCCAAGATTTTTGTCCATATCGTGTGCATCTCATGATGTAGCTAAATGTTACCTTTGCTGGTTGCAGCATTAAATTTCAAATGAATCGTAACATGACTCAGAAAAGAAAATATTGAAAAAAAGAAATAATAATTTTGCACTTCGCTAGTACGCAGCACCTGTACTGTTGTCTGGTGTCACACCTTCTAGCATTTGTTTCTCGCAGTTTAGTTGCCAGGACTCGGACGATGTTCAGAAATAGCAGAAAATTAATCTGAAGAGGAAATAGAAACATAATGTTAGAATTAGATGTAATTGGAATCACTGAAAGGTGTCTTATCCATCAGCTGTGATGCCACAGGTGCAGCGAAACACTGTCATTTCGCACACGGTAGGGGAAAGTTGAAATCAGCACGTACTCACCACTACAGCAACCACGATGGGCATTTGATATATCCATTTAAAATTGCCTGCGCTTAGGTTCCAACACCTGTGATAGACAAATAATAACAAGGCATCAATAAACAAGTGATATGACAACCTTCTTTTGGGGGGGGGGTATTGTTTTCTGCCATCATGTCGGATATACAGAAAGGGCACAAACACAACATCAGGTCATGTTTTATGGCTCTCAAAGAACTTTAAGATTTGCAAGGCTTTGAAATAACAAAATCTGCTCTTTTTATTTGGAATTAAAAGTTCAATTGACCCCAGATGTCATTTCAAAGATTTATAGACAATGCACAATGACAGCATTTGATTTAGGTTAAGTATGGTATTAACCATAGGCCGGTTTTACTGCTAGGTTTTAAGCCATATGGATATTATTATGTTTACTCAGTTTCCCAAATATATTGCAAAGGTACATACTGTGGTTATCATCATGTATGATAGGTTTTTTGGCTAAAAAAAAAAAACCAATAAAACAACCCAGACAGGAGGCAGAAATGTTCTGCTGCTCTCCCACCGACAGAGAAGAGAATTATGTGGTTTAGTTCCACTCTACAGCTGCTGGATACTAGCTTAGTCGCGAGCTCCCAGCTGCAGAAACTTCATGTTTTACTGTGGTACAGGACCAATGTGGACGCTGTAGATAATGGTAGTTGGAGGTGGTTGAAGTTCTGCCCGTCTGGTTTGGGAGTTTTGGCAGTTTTGACCCAGGTGAAGTTGCCCATTTGTAAATCGAATTTGAATACACTGATTTTTGGCCACTTTAAGCTTTATTGGACACACTAATACCAAATATGTACTGTACACACACACTTAATGGGAAAGTAGTGAAACTAAATTGCTTCTATGGATCACTTACTCTGTGTCTGCAAACATGGCTCTCACAGTTGCCCAAATGGTTACAAACACAGCTGGTACACCTGCAAAATAAAATAAAAAATGTCTAACTTGGTATCATAAAAAATTTATCAAAAAGACAAAAAATAATTTGCTCATGTGAGAAGAATCCGGGTAGCACAGCATCCACATTGTATGCGCTGTGCTTATGACATTTATACGCACAGTGTGTACAATGCAGGAACTGTAAAGCCCATATTCAAAATCTTTTTCTCTTTTTTTATCCAGATGAGTCACTCTCCATTGTCCTTTCTTATTTATGAGAATTTCATCAGCAGATATGGAAGTACCTCAAAGTGTTCCAACTTATTTGCATGCTAATTACACCATCAAAAATTTAATTCCTTTGATAAGAGCTGCGTTGCAGGTCAATGGATCTACTGAACATGCAAGTACAATGTAAATTAAGCAAGCAAACTCACCCCATCCAATCACAGTAAATCCCCACAGGCACTTTCTATTGGAGAAGAAGGTCATAAAAATGAGACTGTGGAGGTAGAGACCCTCCACGAGAATCCAGTAGTAATTAGTTGCCAGGAAGTACATAAACAAGGTCACGACCACCTTACAGGTAATCTATAGAGAGAAGAAGAAAAGAAGCAACAGATTTAAAGTTTAAACACATACCTTATAACTCTAACATACACCTATGGTACTCTGATTTCAGCTACAGGTGATAAACTAGAAGGGCACTTTCAATAGGTTTTTATGATGACACTGACATGGATTGTGGGCCTCTACAGTTTTCTCATGTCAGCGCTGGTTTCTTATGTGCCACAGAGCTGAATTTCAAATACTGCTTGGTTTAAAGGCCACTGGAAGGTTTGGGTCCAAAATACATTTCACGCCTGCTGATACATTATGGACCATTCACACCTCTCAAGTTGTCTGGGTACGGTTTTACTCGCTATCCCCCAGGGTCAGGACTAAGCATGGAGAGGAAGAATGTGGTTTTTATGCATCACACAGCTGAGCAGAAAAACACTTTGCACATGTATTTCATGAGACAGCTGAATATGAGCAGGGAAAACTGATCTGACATTGCAAACAAAGTCCTGCACACTGTCTAAATTGCATTGAGAAATGAATATATTTTTGCAATACTGTGCATCAGCGCTGAAATGAGCTCCCAAAAAATCCAGATAAGATGAAAAAAACTCAGCAGGACTGCTCCACTGAAGGCTTAGATATTTCTGTTTGCTACAACCTTGTAATAAATAAAATTATTTCACGCATTAAGCGCTTTACCCATTTTTTAAAAATATATTTTATTTTTTTATAGTCTCCCATTTAATTAATGCTCTAATTTATCTGTGTCTGCAGCTGCAACTTTTGTCTTCATGCATTTTTATGTCATGCACGTTTGACTGACCTCTTGTTGAAAGGTGCAAAACAATATGGCTTATGTTACTCATGTTCAGATTATTCACCACAGGCATGATTATTTTTCAGGCAGGATTCACTCCTGCTGCTTTTCGCCACACCGCTAATTGTTGAGCAACTTTAGAGGCACGAACGAGGTTAAAATCTTGTTAGCTGACCTCCAGCTAGTATAAACATGAATGATATATTGGCAATTTACAACTCTGATAGTGTCGGAAAAATGAAGACTCTCTCACCTGGCATTTCATTAGGTATAACTGTTCAACTGCTTATTATTGCAAATCAGTCAATCACATGACTGCAACTCAATGCATTTAGGCATGGAGATATAGTAAAGATGACCTGCTGAAGGTCAAACTGAGCATCAGAATGGGGAAGAAAGGTGATTTAAGCGACTTTGAATGTGGCATGGTTTTTGGTGGCAGACAGGCTGGTCTGAGTCGTTCAGAAACTGTTGATCTACTGGGGTTTTCCGACAAAACCATCCCTCGGGCTTATGGAGAACGGTCCGAAAACGAAAAAAAATCCAGTGAGCAGCAGTTCTCTGTGTGGAAATGCCTTGGTGATGCCTGAGGTAAGAGGAGAATGGCCAGACTACTTTGAAGTGATAGGAAGGCAACAGTAACTCAAATAAGCACTTGTTATAACCAAGGTATGCAGACGAGCATCTCTGAACGCACACCGTGTTAAGCCTTGAAGCAAACGGGCTACAGTACTCTAGCCCACATCGATCTCTAATCACATTTTCTTGTCTGTAATTACTGCAGATTGGTTAGCACACAAAGTGCTCACAGATCCTTGTGATGAAGGATGGTTCTGAACAAAATAAAGACTTTTACTGGGAATCATGGGACCTCTTTCTTTTTCTCTAAGTGCGGTCACAGCAGCTCGAGAGGAATCTTCGTAGATCTTCTGACTAGCCTCAGTGAGAAATGTAGCCAGACAATGTGACAACTATTTACTCATAGCAGAACAGCTTTATGAGATTTCCCCATCATCAGGTGTTCCTTTTCTTTAGGACTGTTAGAGAAATTGGACATATTTTGACAGCTGGGTCATACTGTATGTTGTGAAAGCATGGGCAAATGTAATGTAGTTCAAATCTTGAATAACACATAAAAGTTTCTCATTATCACTAGATGTACCTCAGGAACATCTAAATTTGCAGCGCTACTGTCATTGCACCCACCCAATGGGAAAATACTGCTCTGAACTACATCTGTAACCGAGTTACAATGCCATTTTGTTACTGTGGAAACAACACATTTTGCTCATGGATCACTGTGTGAGTTTAGGCTCATTACTGTATATGTTGGTTTTTTAGCCAGACTCTTTTTCTGATAAAAAATAACATGTCTTTTTTTTTTTTTACGGGTGGGGGGGATGAGAAAATTTCTGAAAAAACAAACAAACTGGGGCGAGTAGTTACAGAGATATGACTCCTTCCCAGACATAACCCATAATAGGGTGCTAACAATCCATTGTACGCATTTGAGCATTAATGGATTGCTGTTAAATTTTGTTGGTCCCCAGAGGGCGTGGATCAATTTCCTCCCACCACCAGCAAGTATACGTTTTCACTTATTAAGAAAGCTTCAGGTCTCAAGCGTCGTGGCCATCTGCCTTTCCCATTATAGGGTTGAGATTCTTGATTACAAAATTTAGCAATTATTAGATTATTAGATGGGTATCAGTGGAATTACAGACAAAAAGAGGTTAGCGTCTACCACGACTGGCTTTGGTAATCTTTTGATTTTTTTTTTTTTATCTAGTACCTTCATAAGTTTCCATGTGATCAGTAATTGTCTATTTATTTATTTGTTTGATTATTTTGATCATTTCTAAATATTTAAATAAAATTGAATTGAATCGAACTGAGTTTGTTTATTTTTAACAGGGACAGTGTACATTAATAAACATTGCTGTAATTGTACTAGAGTTAGCAACAGGTTAATATTCATCACCTGCAAACTAACAGCATTTCTGTTAACCTCTGCTGTGTTATGTTTGTACTGTAAATGAACCGAAACATCATCATGCTAGCGAATTAAGACCAGATGATAAGTCTGGTAAATATGCTGCATGTTAAATATGCAGATTAAAAGCATGCAGACAGCACATACAGAGTCCACTGTGGAGTTTTTTCACAGCATCTGCGCTTCATAGTTACGGTGTTATATGGTCGACCAATGGATTATTATTGCAGCTTTCTGAAATGCGTCTGTTTTATTAAAACATTCAATTAAATAATAATTTAATTAAATGTTTGACTTCTTTTTATCTATATATATTTCTACCACAAATAAAGAGAATGGATGTAGTTCACTGGCTTAACTCAGTTCTCACGCATGTCTAATTATCAGTCCCAAGCGCACTAATTCACAAATGTTGTTCCTGTGTTATTCGCAGCCTCTTATTTTCTGTGTCCATCCCAGTGTCTTAATCCATTATCTGTATTTGTGTGGAACAAAGCTTTTGAACCCACTGTTTCAAAGTTCTGAGTGAAAATGTTTTATTTCATGCACAGAATAAAGTTTTGAAACTAAGTGCGTTATCACCATGCAACATACGGGAAGCACATTTTATATGTGAATGATCGGTGTCTCTCATGCCAATTGTATTAATCTTTAAAAGCAATGTGACATAAATGTATCAATAGACTACCAACAAAATTAACCGCAAACACTAAAGTTGGGACTCAAAGCACAGAGTACTGCACACAACTCAAAGGACGAGCGAGTGTTGTGTCTACAATTAACTTGCACTTAGCAAAGAACCAATTTTAAACAGTATCATTAAACCCATAATTTCTTTCCATTTCTTTAGCTGAATATACAAACAAAAAGTACGCACATAACACAGTCTGACAGGTATTTTTGAACCAACAGGTGATTCCCAAAGCTGAAAACTTGACATATTTCAACTGGTTTGCAGTGTGTCAAAAATTCTGCAGCAATATCTTCACAGAGAACAGAACAAGCATCCAAATAGGAATTTTGGAATCTCTTTAAGAAGCCTCGGGGACTATTCATGAAGACTACTTAAAGAAAACACAAGAAAGTTTGAGTAAGAGAGCTCAGACTGAGTTGAGCTTCCATACATCCTTATTAATAAAGTGCAATAAGTTGCTGCACCTAATTCCAATTTTGCTATAAAGAAGAAGGATTTGCATTATATACACATATTCAGCCTGTGATTTCTGCAGGAGCGTCAGACCTTTTGTGATCGGACTGGTCTGTGGTTCAGACCTTACATTTTCTTTTTCTTAATTAAGAAAATAAGTGGTTGAAAAAGGTTATTTGCTCCATACATAAAATGATGAATTATGCCAGAGTACACACACCTAAGTTCCCTCATTGTGTCACACACAATATTTCACTTATTAAGCAGTTTGAATACAGTATAAGTCACTTTGCAGAGATACAGAGGATGAAAGATATCCCTAAATATATAGTGTAAATTGTTTGTGTATTAAAGCATCCGTGAAAAGTACACAGTCTTTACAAATTTTTTCAGACTTGACTCTGTTCAGGAAAGCCAAGTCCTGGCCTAGTAAAACCTTGGCACGGTGACAAGCAGTACAGTTTATTTGCTGCAGTACTGGAAAAGCAACTGAGACTCCTGCAAAACTTACCTAACACTTCCCATGCGGAAACACAACTCTTCACACCAAGCAACACTAATCAAATTATGTGTACACGTAAAGCAAACAAATCCTGACATTATATTTTTTTTGTGAGTACTGCACGTTCACTGACTACGACAACAACTTTATCTGCTGCTTCTGTTTCTATTTGGTTTACTTACAAAATGTGTTTTGTCGGTTTGTGAGGCTTCAGAAATAGACTTGATGTCTTCCACACTGACTCCTTCCATGTCTAATGTCGATCCGGAGTAGAGAACAACGTCTTTTACAAAAATGCTTATAGCTCTTAGCATGTAGGACACAAAGAGGTGCATGTGGATGTAGTTCCTGGTACAGTGTAACCGTCTAAAAAAGAGAGAGAGAAAAAAAGAGTGGTATGGTCAAATATCAGATTTGTGAGAAATTTTTCCTATTTTTCCTTTTTTTAGACAGTTGGTACACCTCAATGTTAAGTTTGTGCTCGACTTTTCACACGCACACAAACAATACGCATCCTAATTAGAGCCAGCTGAATTCCACGCTGAGTACAACACATTCTCGAGAATTAGGAGCTTGAAACACACAAATATTAAATCGTTACACTCAAAGTGAGCAGTAAAAACGAAATTGCAAGCATGTGTTGAAAGGGATCCAAATTTGCTTCCACGAAAGCACAAGTTTATCAGTCAAAAATTCTTCATTCTTAACATTTGTAGAAATGTTAACATTTGCAACTGTGAAGTGATTCTGGCACTGTGCTCCAAAGGGAGCTGCAGGATCAATAGCCATAAAGGCTACATTATTGCAGTCAAGACAAAACGTCAATGCTAAAATTTCTTGAATATTTACTAGTGCAAAAAAAAAAAAAGACATGACAGTTTAAAGTCTAAATTTGTCAACATTTACTTGACGCTGACATTAGATCAGTGTAATTTCTACCCACTGTTTCTTTCTCTAAAGACTCTTTAATGAGCTGAATTCTTTGACGAGCAACCCTCAGAGAGCTATTGATTGAGAAAAACTAATCTAGCGTACATTTCCCCAGTGAAAAATTCTGAACACAAGTGGTAATGCAAAATATCCCCTCTTCTCTCTCCCTGGAAAACATTTATGAGCTCTCCTGTCTAAAAGCTGATGTGTTAAAGAGGAGACATGGCTGGAGTGCTCTGAGCACAGAGCCAGAATGTCAGATGGGCCCCTGGGACAACTTATTAAACTCATTTTGCCTGTAGATTTCCTGGTGCCAGTTGGGAGCATTCCTAAAAACCTTCTGACTGCCTGCCTGTACAGTAAGTCACGCCGGTTGGAGCATTGGTAAACAGTTCCTTCCCATTGATTAGTGATAGTCCCTGTGCTCAACTAAATAAGCAAATAATAACAAATCTGCCCTGTGTTAATCAAAATGATTTAAAAAAACAGACATTTTCAGACTGAATTCAACCTTGTTTTAAGGTTTTTTCCTTTTTCATTTAAGAAAGTAGCCCTAAGGTAAGGCTGATACCTCTTATGTTTGTACAGTAGGAGGAGAGCTTTTCAAACACAGCACTTTGCTCTGAATTCACATCCCTTCACTCCCTTGTTTAGATGTTTACATGTGGGAAAAGGTGGATGTTGATTAGGAAATGTAATCTTTGTAAGCTGGGAGGAATAATAAAAAATAAAAACTCAGCATACACACTTTGGTTGTGTGTCAGCGAAATCTGAAATCAGCATGAAAATAACAAAGAACCTAAATGTCAGGCAATGAGGCATGCATTACTGCATGCCTGAAGGCAGGCTCCTCCTCAAAGGCAGTCATATCATAGTCTGTTAAAAGTCAAAGTAAAAGTCAAAGGTAATGCTTGATATAGATTGTGTGCTCCGTGCCGTCGCTGTGACACAACACATATATTGCGATGCACGATTATCCGGTGGAGTCGGGGTGGGGGTGATGGGGGATTCACAGCATGCCATCATGCTGTGAATCATTTGGACTCCCTGTTTTGATCCCTTCTCCAATTGCTCTAACCTTAATTTCTGACCTGATCAAACGCCCTCTCTTTTGGGAACATTTGTAGTTGAAAGTACTGATTGAAAAAGTCCAGCAGCAGCATCGACTCACCGAAAATATCCCAAAATGACCACAGCCACCATGAGCGACCCCAAAGAGACCGAGTACCCAACCGTGTAAATGAGATACAGACGGTGAAAGACGTCCTGTTGGAAAAGGATAATTTGTTAGAATATCAACAGACACGTTATCCCCTCCTAATTGCATTGTTTGATCCGCTGTATGTTTTAGTCAGACATGCTAATCCTGTTTGTTGGAAAAATTTATTTAAGGATGTCTCCAAATAACCTGGTTTGTCACTGGAAAGCATCAGTACACTGGGCAGTAGTTTAATCCTCCAGCAGAAGCCTGGCTGCACGTCACCAAGTTAATAAGTGCCAGGACCTCCTTGTGATGTAAGTTGATACTACACTGCTGTTATCATTTAGCATCAGGATCTTGTGCCAGAAAAAAACGTGCGTCTGCAGTATTGCTGTTTGCTTTAGTTCATGCGCACATATTTATCATTATCTACTGCAACTGCTCCTCTGTTGGAACATCGATCTGAACATTCGACGTCATACAGATGACAGCGGTATCGTATCGTTTCAGGCCAGAAAAGGGTGACGATCAAAGCATGACAGCTTTCACGGCTTTCTCACAGCCTTTGAATGTTTTCATTTATCAATATTTTTAACAAGTTTTCCATCCTTCTTACAAGAGCTATTTACTGCCAGCACTGACATCTAACACCCCGAGCGATGGTAGAGGAACTCTGCACAGGCACCTGCGATCAAGGTCACATCTAGCTGTCAGTCACGCTGGGTTGTAGTAGTTCTTCTTCTTTTAACTGTTTCCACACGATGCTTTGCAGTGTAATGGTGCTGTTGGTGCTCATGGTATTACAGATTATGCAACACATAATCCTCTTTATTAAAGTTAAAGATTTCCATTTTGTAAGACGTGTACGCCCGCTTAAAATGTGCAACTGTGTCAGGATACACAGCAAAGAAACACTATCAGCTGACAGGTCTGCTATGAAACAATGAAACAAATACAACAACTATAAAGACCTCATTATGATAATTAATTATAACGTCAGGTAAATGACAACAAAGCTCTAACATTAAAACATTAGCTGAGCTAAATATACAACACACTCCACCCTGGGCCTAAGTATGTCAATTTTTATGGTTTGGCCTTAGAGAAGAAAAATAATAATTCTACAGCATAAAATGGTCATAAGAAATTACCTTTCACTGCAATAGCCTCAAATCAATGAAATAGATTGCACTACAGTATGAGGTGGTGCAACTTCATTAACCCTTTCCAGACCCCTGACTAGCATCCAGGTCTCGTCACCTATTAGTGATGCTGTCGAGGTTATATCAAAGATTTGCAGCAAAGTCTTCCCAAAATGGTCGAGGCTGTTGCAAAAGCATAAAAATGTTTGCTAATGCTCCACACTAATGGTTTTCAAAGAAGATGAAAATCTAATCGGTTCTTCCTTAATCCAAGAGAACATTTGTGCAAGATTTGACGGTACTGCATTCACAAGAAAGGATGCATAAAAATCATTAAAATCGACGAATGTAGCTGCATGACTCAACTGTGCAACTGCGGGTCTTATTATTGTTAAGTTACTCAACTGAGCCATGTCTGGTGAGTTCTTAGTGGTCTTAGATTTGCGAGGGAATGACTCAGTTCAAGACTAATCTGGCACTGTTTTCACTTTGTATTATAACATAAATTTAGCCAGTTACAGCCATTTTATCACAAAGCGACCACATGACTATCCTTTCATTATCCCCTCATCATCTTCTCAACATTTCAGTAAATACGATCAGACTTTATTTGCATTGCACATTACTAAGAAGGCATGCTGTTAATTTGTTACGCATTTCAAAGGAAGTATAATTGCAGGGTACATTTTTTTCTTAAATACCTTAAGTGAGACAATTTGCTATGGTGCTGCTGTTAATTATTTTGGTGGGAGACAGTGTCAGCATGTAAATGGAAATCAGATGGATCTTACCATTTGATAGCTTGGGTTATATTCGGGGAGGTGTTTTGAACATTCAGTATAATCGGCCCATGTTCTGTTGGCTGCTGCCAGCTGCCATATCCCATTGCTGTCACACTGACGGTGTGCTAATCCTAGAAATCAACAAAAGAAGTCTATTTTTAATTACAGATTTAAAGCTGCATAATTCAATAAATTGCCAAAGCAGGTTCAGAGAGAGCTCGAGTTATGATTTGCAATGAATTTGCAGAGCGCAGCCTAACTCATTTTAAAATTCAGGGATTTAACTGCTTACTGTATCCAGGGCCAAGCTTACCTTTATGGTTGAAGTCAAAGATATACTCTGGACAGGGAGTGGATATTTTCCCAGGAGGCCCTTCAGGCCAACAAACAATGCCATCCCAATCTGGTGAGCAGAAACCATCTGCAGAGAAAAGAAAAGAGTTGACTTAAAACCAAATCCTGTCATGACTATAGCACTGCAGTAATGGTCAGTAGGCATTTCCAAGATCTGCTTGTTTTCAGGGTTTTTGTTTGAATTTTAAAAAGCAGACACACGATACATAAACAGCACTGGAATGGCACTGCAAAAGCAGCCTTGTAATTTCATGTGTGGCATAACTGCCCCCCCCCCCCTTTTTTTTTTTTTATTCATATTTGTTCTACTTGTGGGAAACATGGGTCACCAAAAGAAAACACATGCCTGTCCACTTCCCATCTATTGTCACATAATTAAGACTTGCAACCATGGAATTTCCCGCATGCTGACAACAAGTTGTCCATTGAATCTGGTGTGTTCATTAAGGCTTGTTTGTTAGCTGCCGGATATTTCCATAACTGCTCCGTTGTTGATAACACAACAACCATTATAATGTTGTATGGAATTGGTTTTAGCATGGATCTTATTTAAAGACTTCCTGCAACACTAGCTGCATTGTAGTGCCCTAACTGGCAAATTATGGTTAAATAACAGCACTATATTATATAATTCACTTTCAATATGTATCATATGTTTTGAGGTTTTTTTTTAGATGGATCACATTCAATTAATTAACAACATCCAATTTGATTATTCATTTACGTACAGAGTTATGTCTTGCTAGGGTGAATGAAATTTTAGAGAATGGGAAAAATGGTGATAAGATGTAAAACAAATGTCTTATTTGGCCAATCATTTTACCCAGTGCAACAATTTTATGTGTATTTAAACTAATTTTTTGAAAATGTAAAATATTTATTTTAAAAATTTAGTAATTAAGTTGAAAAAAAAAATTCAAGTTCTCATTACAATTTACAGTCCTCAACATGTTTTAGACCACCACCGACTAAAAGGTTTGTGCCAGTCCTTCCTTAAATTAACAGTATTTATGATTACCAAAATATTGTTTTATGTTCTATAACAGCTAATCCAACAGTACAGCTGTGCTATTTAATCAAAATCACATTTTTAGTGCTAAAGTATAGTTATTCTTAATATACATGAATTTTCAGATTCACTGTTTTTGAAAACAACCATAATAAAACATGTAATTTTGTAATAAATGATTAATTTATGGTTCTCAGAATTATCTTTTTTTACCTGTTCAAATTTAGGTAAAATTTGAATTCAGTCATTTTTAGTTTTCAGTTTTGTTTTGGTTTTTTTGGTTTTTTTTTTTTATGAGACGTGGTCTAATAAATGTGTTAGGAACTACAATTTTGTATCAGTCTGGACTTAGGTGACCATAGTGGTTTGGGTGATTTCACTTTATTAATAACAATAAATTATATAGTAAAGAATTGACTAATAATAATAATAATAATAATATAACAACAATAATAATAATGATCATGATCTTGAAATCCCATATTTGCATTCATTTTTTTACATATAAAAATATCACATGAAAAACAGTTATTGCATATTTCTCTTTGAACAACAGAATTGGTTAATGATAATAATTCTCTCTCTCTCTCTCTCTTTTTTTTTAAATGAGGCTGATTATGAATGCAAAATGTTTCCCAGGAATCATTAAAGCAAAAAAAGTTTTCTCCACATTTTTACAAGATGCATGGTGATCCCGATGATCACAAGAGAAAATTTTGTGTCAAATTATTAGCAAAGACTGTGCTACATTAAACTTTGCCATAATGCATCTGCGCTAAGTTCAGACAAAGAACTTTACGTTCAAAGTGGGGGGAAAACCTATGAGTGCACACAGTCCCCTAATTCTCAGCTAAACCGTGGAACGGAGCCTGCTGATAGTGTGAGCGGAGTCCCTTTCACCACAGATTCTTGGCAAAACCTCTCTTATGGCTTGGCATTTATGTTGTATTATTGAAAACATCTGCCCCACTTTGACCACTAATAAGTAGGTAAGCATAGAACTAAAACTCTCCTCTCTTTGCAGTAGATCCATTATTTTCTCATTCCTGTAATCAAACTTACAAAGAAACATCTGACAAAATGACGACTTGCTTTTAACTGCTTGTCACTGGGAGCACAAAATTAAAGAGTAGACTGAGTGGAGCTGACTGATTCTTGCAGATGCATGGTGGGAAAAAAAATGCGTTTAGTTTTGAAAATCACGCTGACCACACATCCTGGGAGTAAAAGTAGAATTGCTGCTTGCTTTTGCCATAGGTTTTACTACCATAGGACCACCTACTAACAGGCTTAAATTAAACACACAAACACACAGACACACACATACAATTTCCTGTAAATTTCTTGACCGCAATTTAAATATAAACGTGCCTACGGGGGGACTTTGGTATTTGTGATGTCACTGGGGTTTGAAGAATGTTTTTTCTCCCCCAACTCATGTGATTCTGACCTGCAGATGTCAAAACACTCACTGCATGCAGTTCCTCCTGATACATGCAGCCTTTTATAATGATTCCCCAAGTTATTCTACACCCAGACCACAAGCTTGAAGGTTGAGCTATTTTCACACTGCAAGGTCTGGGGATTTGAACCCACATCCCTCCACTGTCCTCCTCAGGCAAACCTCACTGCATCCCTCAAAGAAAACCTTGTCCCAGGCATCAAATGGTGAATTTTACACATTTGAAGCCCTAATGAAGCACAACGGCTTTTCCTTTCAAGCAGCACTCAAAGCTTTCTTAATTAACACATAATTTTGGATAGTTTTTCTACACTTTCTGCATTTTACTCTGCTGCCATTTGAAGCCGTCGTAATTCCTAATCTCCAATAATAGTTCAAAAAGCCACAGAATTACAGTTAAAGAGCCAGAAAAAAAATCCTGGGAGATTAGGCAAGACAATTACAGATATAAATCTAAAGCTAGTAGTTGGTGCAATCAGTTTATCTCAACCCATGGTTTGAAGTTCACGCCACAATGCAAAAAGGAAGGAAAATGTCTCTTAAAAAGTGATTTCTGCTGAAATCTTGATGACTTTTTCAAGGAAAATACTGACATCCTTCATCAGAAAGCGCAAGTTCGGTTTTCTTTGAACTTAATGGCAAAATCTTGACAATATCTATAATTTTACTCAACATCACAGCAAACCCACTACCCAGATTTTAAATGACTTCCACACTGCATAATTACAAACAGCCAGATGTGGCTCTGGAGTTCAAATCAAATCGAAATGAAGGTTAAAGCAATTCATCTGGCATTACAGGGAAAAAGAAAATCTCAAAACAAGTACATGCAAGGAGCACATATGTGCTTCTCAAGCCGTTAGTCTCCACCACACTGGGGGACTTAACTGAGGACTCTACTCTATATTAAGGTAATAGGGTTATTCTAATTTCTTCATCTGTAATGTGATTGAACAGACATGTGCAACCTTCCAAAAGAGGTCAGCAAAAAACCACTACATGCAGGATGAGTCACATTCGGCACACCAGCATCATCAGGTATGCAGGTCAGCTCTCTTGTGCTGATGTACCCCCTAAACAGCACCTCAAGCATTTCACAGAATCCCAGTCAGGCATTCCCGATGGGCTTGTTAGAGTCCAGATTGAGCGCCAAAGTCTCCCCTAATGTGCAGACACAGGAACATGCGAGTGCAATAAAGCCGTGGTTATCAACTATTTATACCAGATTAAAATATAAATGTACATATAGTCCCATATGTCTAGTCAAGATAGTGCAAAATGTTAGGTTTTATCCCATTGTTCGTACTGAACATAGCATGCGCTCGGAGGTGCATGCGGACATGTCACACCAACCTTTCCTGTCACTACAACATGTCAGGATAGATTCTCGTCTGCGAGATCTCTGATGTTTCACTGATTGCTCTCCTCTGCATTGGCGCCTATAACCATCTTGTTAAGCATGCTGTAAGAGCTGGAACATAAACCCTAAGCAAACAAAATCTGCTGCTCGGCCCTCTGCAATTCTCAAAAGTAGCAATTCTGACCTTTTTTTTTAATCTAATTTGAGCTAGTGGATATTTATCAAAACCATGAAAAGTTGGGACATACCACATGGGTAATGTAACTACAGGGAACAGTCAACAATAGCTTTTGTGTTCTGAGCCAGGAAGTAAACGTTTTTAATTATGTGTTTCATTTACAAGGAGTATCGTTTGGAGGGCAAAGAATTTCATGTGACCACAATGCACTGGGGTTAAAGAGAAAATAATATGATTGGTTTGGCTGTGGAATTCCTCTCCAATCAACTGGGAGAATGACAGCAACCACATGACGATACAGTGTGCTGGGGTCTGCAGGAAAATGGCGTTCTTCAGATAGCCATAAATATTGAAAAACACCCCAGGACCAGGTTTGCCTTCGAGCTCAGCCTTCGGAAAGCCACAGAGAAGACAAAGGAAACAAAGCTGAGGTTTTAAATGTAACCATCAACTTACAGTTCACAAAAAATGTCTTGCAACTGCTCCAAGAATGGGCCGTGATTTTAACATATCAGCGAAATACAGGCAAAACGGTCCCTTTAATTTAAATATTTACTTATTATGGTGAAGTATGAACATCATCAGTTGATTAGTTTAAGCTCTTATAATCAACAGTCACTCTCAAACAAGTCACCAATCACATTCAATCAGCATGGCGTCTCGATGGACTCTTTACTTTCAAGCTTGTGTTCATCATGTTGCTGGTTATGCAGTTTACTTCCACAGTTCTTGGTAAACTTCACTGTTGATTGGTTTCTCCCTCCATACACAGCCTTCTCTCGGTACACCTCCCGTGTCTGATGACATCCTCCGCCTCATACATTATATTTCAGCTCGGCAGCCATGAGGCGCTGCTCTGTGCAGCCTCTGGGGAATTTACTGCACTCCACATTGAACCTCTAGCTTCAGCTAGAATTCACTGGGGAGCTTCCTCACAAGCGGAAAGCCCCAAACTATTTTTAAGTGATAACGCCTTTGACAAATGTGCCTGTGACAGAAATCTTTTAACTAAAAAACCTTTAACAGGTAGTGGAAAATCACACTATTGGAAACCAATAATAAAAGGCAAATAAAGCGGCACCTTCCAAATGATCCCATTTCAATTTCACGCATTCTGCTTGATTAGTTTCCTCCAGTTTTTAGCTATTAGTTATCTTGTAATAATAATCTGTAGCTAAACAAGACATGTTATTCGATATACAGAAGCTATTAGGGACGATTTATGGATTTGTATCTGTTATCTCTCTAACACACCCCTTTTACTGGGTGATTTGCATGACAAACATTGAATCTGTAATCCCTTTGTTACTCTGCTTTGGAATGAGGAGAATCACAATCCTGCTAACAGAGTAAACAATGAACCAAAAGCAAACAATGTCATGTGCATGCGCTAAATGTTAATCAAATCTGCACTATCATGCACACGCACACCTGGAGGCAATGTTCCTATTTTAAACCACAGCACACCTTGATAAGTGGGTACATGTCCCACACCCTACCCCTCATACCCCACTTTCACCACTTTCCCCAGTCTACAAAATGTAAGGGGCTGGGGTCAGGTGTGCAGATATGCCATTTAACCTAGTTTTTGTTTTTTGTTTTTTTTACAGATTTCAGCTTTTGCAAGAGAAGCGGTGCACATCCATTTCAAGCCCCCGGTTAAAAATGAGTCTCCAGCTAAAAGACATCCTACAGGCGATTTAAGGTATAATTCTGGATTTAGGGATCTGTGATTTTTTTTTCACATGACTGCACTCAATCCACAGCTGTAGCACACAATGGAATATGTGAACAAATATTAAAGAGCCATGCTGGTTTATACAGATATTCCTCCGGCCCCCTGATGATGAATCCTACTTAAATCTCCTATGTGGCTGTTGACCATTTTGCCATGAAATTCAATACTGAAAGTTCAAGTCCCCCTGAAGAATAACAGTATTGTCATTACAGACTCACAAAGCCACTCATACGGCTAAAGACTGACAGATTTGTTTCTGTACTCACCAGGAATCCTCTGCTTTGCCTTGATGATGGCCTCACATTTTTGCTTGGCTCTGTACAAAAACTCTAACTGTTCCTCTTTTGTCAGCACATCATCGGTGTAAACCTGCAAATCAGGGGGAAAGCCGCAGAGTTAACGGAAGGATATGGAAGTGGAAACAGGAATAGTGTGAAAAATAGATACTTTCAAAGAAAATTTCCAACACAAAACATCTATTACAACTCAGCTACATGGCAGTTAAAATGACAAGAACAACATAAAAGTGTAAATATTTCGCTGCTGATGTAGACTCTTCTCTGGATCTGAAATGAGCATGAAAATCAGTTCAGACTTAGACATTAATTTCTCTTTACAGCTGCTTCAAAACTGTCAAACTGTCTGGAACCCTGCTCCTGGTGCTGTGGAGAAAAAAATTAAATCCAGTTTCCTTCCTCCAAAATTCACCGGATATGAGTGACAGTAATACAGTGGATAAATATTAGAAAGTCCTGTACTTTGACCACATCAGTGGATTCATTGAAGAGTTCTATCAGTCTTACTGTGATAAAGTGAAAGCTAAACTTCCCTGACTCAACAGCATCAGTTTCACTTGCAGCATGCAGGCTTATTCCAGCGGTAAACTGATCGACATGAGGAAAATTTTAACACTGACAAAAATTACATTTTATTCCCTGCAGTTTTTTTTTTTTTTACCCCTTATATATTTTCAGCTTCTGAACGTTTTATATGAGGGTGACGTGGTAACTCAGGTGTGGTTTTCCAGTCAGGGAAACTTTTTCCATTCTAATAGGTCACACTGACTGACTTGCTGTTTGCCTGTGGATCACTTTCGGGCATTGACAAATGTGACTGTATTGAAAACGACAACATTCATTTTTAACAGAGCATGACAAGAAGAGTGGAAATGAAAAAACAGGCCGCCTAAACTAAAGGCTAGATCGCCAGGATATTTAATGCTGTCATGTAGGCAATATCATTGTTCTCTGAGCCACACTGCAGCAAAACTATAAGACGCACACCATGAGACATAAACTAACACGTATGCCGTACAGAGCGCCTGGAGGTGCGGCTAAAAAAAACCCACACACACACAGTCTTGTTTTTTTGGTCCAGTGATCCAGAGCAAATAGTGCAAATTAAAGACAGACGTTTACTCAGAGCAGCTGACTGCCTGGCTGCAGTTGCATCTGTCGGTTTCAGACACAAATTACATGTCTGGATGTGAAGAAATCAAATTTTGCTTCTATGAAAGCAAGAAGCAGAACACTTCAAATAGTAACGAGTAATTGTTTTACCGATGAGCAAGAGACAGCAGGGAGAACAAGGTAAATCTATGCATAAACAATTCACCTTTCTAAACATTTATCACAGTCATTTTGGATCTAGAATATATATTTTTTAAACGTGACACAATGGAATATATAACCATGGACAGATAGCTGCAGGTACAAAGTAAAGGCGGTGTGGAGACTTGCTTGTCGAATCTCATTGTGATATAATGATCATGCCTGATTCTATCTCTAAATATAAGTAATATAATTGATTTTCTCTTGTTGCCCTGAAAAATCTTATTTTAGTCTCTACAATATTTGTTAATTTGTTCAGACAGATGTTAACTAAATAATTTGTGTACCTTATTTTTAAGGTATGCTTGTTATATCTAATCAGTCAATCACATGGCACCAATTCAGTGTGTTTAACCAAGTAGCCATTATCAACTGAGCATGAGAATGTGAAAGAAAGGTGATTTCAGTGAATTTGAATGTGCCAGATGGGCTGGCCTGGTTATTTCAGAACCTGCTGATCTCCACAGAAAATATCCAATGTTGATGTCAGAGATCAGAGGAGAATGGCCAGACTACTTTGAGCTGATAGAAGATAGCAGCAATTCAAATGACTACTTGTTACAAACAAGGTATGCAGAAGAGCATCTTCGAATGCACAACATGTTAAAGCTTGAAGCAGATGGATACAGCACCAGAAGACTGCACTGGGTACAGCTCCTGTCAGCTAACAACAGGATACCGAGGCTATAATTCACACTGGCTCACCAAAATTGGACAACAGAAGATTGGAAAAACATTACCTGGTCTGATGTGCCACATGAAACAACATGAAAGCTGATGTTTGCATTCTAATATTTGTGTTCAAGCCTCTAGCTATAGATAAAACATCTTATGGAAAATAAGTTTTAGTAATAAGACTTTTACTCTTATACTCTTTTTTGTGAGTATAGAAATACTGGAAGTGAGCTTACTCATTCTGCAACAGTATTTTATATTGTATTCTTCTTATTTATAATTTAGTACAGCCAATTGCCGTGGTGTTTATTTAAAGTATATGAAATGCTGAAATTTTACAGCAGTAACAGCAGTATAAATGTTGAGAACCAACCATAAAAAGGACAGTACCGAAACACTGCAGTACTGAAATAAATTACAAGAATTTTACACTGGTTCCCGAGTACAACATTTAAGAGAATGTACTTATTTACTATAACGGTTACTATAGTAGATGTACAGTCTACTAAGAAGTATTTATATTTTTGCAGTTGGCAATACAGCTCCGTATAGTAACCAACTGTTGTATAACCTTTTTCAAGACTTTTTCAGCCGTCTCTTGTGCCTGTTCATAATGAGAAATATAATAAATAAGTACAGATAGGAACAAAGACATGTATACTTTGTTTCTAACAGAAGTACGCAACTTCACGAGGTTTAAATTTAACTGTAAATACCAAGCCGTTGTGGGTTTGCTCCATACAAACCCACAATACCTCAATCCATCAATATTTTCACTACTTTCAGCCCTGAAATAAGGATGTCCAGTCTGAGAACTGAATAAGGTTACAGAATGAAGACGTTTATGGCTTTGCACAGTAAACAACCACAGATGGAATAACATTTTACCGCAGGCGAACAAGGATAGATACTACCTGTTTACTGTACTAACTAAGCCAATATAGAATATTCCACTGACAGCTTCTGAGACGTTCACACTATTTTCATCTAAAAAGCTGCCTAGTCTTACTTTAGGTAATGACCAATAGGTAATCAGAAACAGTGGATGTGGAAGTTATTCTGGTAAGAATAACACCACTATCATTACTCTTTCTATTTGCGGACAGGTGACAAATTAAAGGAAAAACACTGAACGTCTAACCTCTACATTAAGGGGACTGTTATGCTGCAGAAGGTGTTATCACGATCAGCTTTATCTTGAGATCATATATTTCTTTTCCGATACGAGCGATCACTTCCTGCATAGTTATTAAGGTGCAATAACATGCACCAGATTTGTACTGGCAGATAATTTTCCTCATCACTACCGTAAAACACCAAATGAGGGCTCTTTGGGGAGAATAAGATTTGGAGAATAAGTGACAAGGCTAGCTGAAGCTGCATAATGTATTTTCACCATTTAAATAATTGCATGCATTATGCTGATATATGTTGAATTTTTCCACACACTTCAAATCAGTGTGAAATATTGCAATTTCTCTAAGTTATTTCTGCCATTTGAGTGAGACTGCTGTTCCAGCACATTAAGAACAAACATCCCAGCCTTTATAGTGGTGTTTAAGCCCCTGTGAAACAGTAAACCAAAATGAGGCATGGAGTTTCAGCTTTCTGTCTTAAAAACCAGACTCCTGCATCCAGGGATATAGAGGAGTATCATTTACCATTTCAAGAGGAGAATCTTGGGTAATATGTATGCCCCGTGATTATTTCTGAAAACTATTCCTCCTCCACTGGCCAGAGTCCAAACCTCCAAAGTAAACACACCTCTCACAGGGAGAAACGTGGACATTCTTATTTACTGCATTGCATTCAAAACACAGTATTCTTTTTGTGAAATGCTTTTGAGTTTGTGCCAAAATGAGAATTAGAAAAATACACAACATATAAATATGTGTGTTTTCATCACCGGTCGCTAGAATACAAACTCCACTTGGATAAACCACAAGTTTCTATTTGTCTTTGCAAACTGCAGCTTGATGACTTAAACTGCAGCCCTCTGCAAGAATATAAGACCAATATTGAGAGAACTGTATTTAGGGTGCTCAGTCAAGAGAGCGTTTAACCGCTAAGATGAAATGCTAACATTATACAGTGTGGGAGTGAAGGCACATTTACAGTTTAGTTTTAGTTTTCTATTTTCAGCATTTGGTCATTAATGCAAGTTGTATTTATCTGTCAGAGATTGATTTGTCTGGCATGACAGTTAAATATTTTCAGTGTCCATTTGTTGATTTTCAAATAGTTTGCACCAAAGGTTAAAAAAAATTATAATAAACTGTCCATCAGAAATGTGTCATATGGCTAGACGCCATGCATACATTGAGTGGAGACACTGGGTTTCCACTGCATTACCAACAGCCTTCATTGCGGACTGCTTTGCGCTTTTTATTTCTTCTTCTTTCTTTTTTTGAAGAAAGTTGTGGCTAACCAAAGTCATTTCCTGTAATGTCCTACACGGAATCAGAGAGTCAAATGGTGGAGCTTGTGAGGTAGACTTTTATTAGAAAAAACAAAACAAAAACTCGAGTATCCAAAAAGTTTAAATGAACCACAAAAACCACTGGATTCAGTGGAGTATAATTATCTGCAGTGAGTCAACAGTGTATTTGGATTCAAAATAAAGCTCAGTGATCTCATTAGTACTATCTCAGACCATGAAAAAGTTCTATCAAAAACACAACATAAAGCGAGTTCCAATCATGACGGCAAAGACGCAAGCATTTTTGAGCAAAACACTACAGCTTCGAAGTGGCTTGAACTTTGTACTGATCTCCCAGAAAGTTGAATGTAGGGACAATTCCTTTGCCAAAATTAATATACTTTATCCTCAAGCTAAACTCAGTGGGCAATAAAAAATGCATCCCAACAGCTTTGATTACTTTCAGAAGTTTGTTAAAACTGAATTGTTGAAATCCTGTCTATACACAAGCCCCATCTATGCATTTTGGCTTTTTACATGCATGTAGAAGGTGTTGTAGGTCTCTGAAAAACTTCTTCCATAGTTAAAGATGTTCAGGTGCTCCATTTCAGCATTTACACTTGAACTAGACACTGCAGATTTTAGCTTTCAGTATCGAAGGTGTG